GCCATCGCTCTTAGGTCGGAGGCCATTCCAATTTGCTTGGAGGCCATTGCTATTGGGTTTGAGGCCATTGCTCTTAGGTCGGAGGCCATCGCTCTTAGGTCGGAGGCCATCCCTATTAGGTTGGAGGCCATTCCAATTTGCATGGAGGTCATCGCTCTTAGGTTGGAGGCAATCGATAGTAGGTTGGAGGCCATCGCTCTGAGGTCGGAGGCCTTCGCTCTTAGGTTGGAGGCCATTCAAATGAGGCCATCGCTAATAGGTCGGAGGCCATCGCTCTTAGGTCGGAGGCCTTCGCTCTTAGGTCGGAGGCCTTCGCTATAGTAGTAGCGTCCTTGCTCCTAGTATTGCTCCTAGTAGTACGGCCAGGAGCCCCTAGTAGCGTCTTTGCTCCTAGTAGTACGGTCAGGAGCCCCTAGTAGCGTCCTTGCTCCTAGTAATACGGCCAGGAGCCCCTACTAGCGTCCTTGCTCCTAGTAGTACGGCGAGTAGCCTCTAGTAGCGTCCTTGCTCCTAGTAGTACGGCCAGGAGCCCTTACTAGCGTCCTTGCTCCTAGTAGTACGGTGAGGAGCCCCCAGTAGCGTCCTTGCTCCTAGTGTAATCGTCTCCACCGGATGTATTGATGTTTTGATCGTTTCCGCGTACTTTCAAACTGGAAAATCTGCAGAAGCGCGGGTGGTCAATAACCAACTTCTACGAGATGTTCTGTTACATGTGATTCAGACCGATATACCATTCATCATCGCTGGAGATTTTAATATGGACGTGCGCAAACTAGATGCCTTCTCTACATTTCTTCACATGGGTTGTCAAGAAATGTTTGAATTTCATCGTGCAGCATTTAGCTTTGAACTGCCACCGACATGTAAAGGTGCGACACGGTTCGATTCCATGATCTTCCATCCTTTTCTCCTGAAATATATCCGATGTGTTGATTTTGGACCAGAACATCAGTTTGCAGATCACAGAGTCGTCCATACCACATTTGACATTCCAACACGTCATGTGCAGTCTTTCACTTGGTTTGTGCCAAAATCATGGACACTGTTCCCCGTCGATGCCAAGCTGTTTGCCGCCAGTTACCGTCAAGTCAGAACCCAATACCAGTGGGGCGCATCTACCGACGCTGCTGTCAGCTTATATAAATGGTCATCTCATGTTGAGACCGCAGTCGATCGTGCTCTTCGACGTCAACAAGTCTTGGATCCTTGGGCTCATACTCAAAAATCTCTGCCCAAAACATACCGGGGTCGATGTGCTACCCCCAAACTAGTCCGTACTCCCTGTCCGATGGCTCCCAAGAAGGACGCTTCAGGTCTTTATGATCCACCAGTTGAAGTCACATGTCTTAAAAGCAAGCAAAAAGTACGGCAAGTGCGCCGCCTCAGGTGTCTTGAACAAATGTACAGGAAGTATCATCTCTCGCAAGTTTCACAGGACCAGTGGGCTACTGTGCCAGCATATAACGCCCTATGTCTGGTCTGGCAGGCCATATGTAAGGCCAACGGGTACATCCCTGCAGTATCAGTTGACCTCCCTACATTTGACCAACTATATAATGTCCGACAAATAACCCAATACGATGCCGATTTATATTGTCAACAAGAAGCCAAGTTTCGACGGCTGTCCCACAAGCACGGTATTGATCTCGATATTAAACATAAGTCCGGCTCTCATTTCTACAATCGATTGAAGGACCACGAAACCAAAATCCTGCCAGGGTTTCCAGTTGCAATTCAAGCCCAAGCTACACTTCTACGAAACACCAAGGGCCCAGTTCGGTTAATCATCCACCAACCTGTCACTTTTCGTCTTTTCGCTGCAGTCAAGTTCGGAACGGCTACTTTACGTATTCTCGCCCAGCAAGATAACTACTTGACATGTCAGCTTCTTGACGGAATTATACCAGCCCATGACACTGCGATCCAAAATGTGTATGCTTTCGATATCTCGGAAATGACGACACCTTTCGCAAATTACTGGTACCAATTCTGGAATCGAGATCCCCCGGAGGACGAGACCAGTGACGACTCATGGACAGACATTCTCCAGTCTCTCCGCAATAGGATACCACCTCAAGCACCTCTACCCGTAGTGTGGAATGACTCTCAACTACTAACACAAACAATCCATAAACTGAAACCTTTCGAAGCAGCTGGCATCGATGGGTGGCGAGCCGAAGAACTCCAGACACTTCCACACTGCGCAATAGAGGATCTTTCTCATATCTTCGCCCAGCTGTGGCCTTCTGGCCTGTCTACTCATCAGATGATTGCAAGGGTCATCCTACTTGCCAAAAGGACTCCAGCGACATCCATTTCGGACGGTCGCCCCATTACCATCCTAGGCTATATCAGTCGCTTAACTTCGAAGATCATTGCGGATCAACTATTAAGCCGTTGGTCTTTGACCTGGCCCAGTGCCATCTCTGGGGGTCTTCCCTTCCGAGGTGTCCAAGATATCACCTTCATGCAGCAGTTTCAGATTGAATCCGCTAAGACTCGAACTTTACCATGGCGTGGATTTACTCTTGATTTGATCAAAGCCTTTAATTTGTTACCACGTCGGGTGCTGTACCATTTGCTTATTCATCACGGAGCTCCACCCGCCTCCATCAAGTTCTGGTTCCTCAATCTATCGAAATTAACCCGCCGGTTACAGGTTCGTCAAGCTATTGGCCCCGAGATTACTATGACAACTGGGGTTCCGGAAGGTGATAGTCTTTCTGTTTGTGCCATGCTGGTCACATCTTCAGCATTCTACTGGAGGTTGTCCACACCCACGGTGTTCCCATATGCTTACGCTGATAATTGGTCGTACCTCACCACTAATCAACGAGATAATATTCGAGCTTTTCGTAAGATCCAGGATCTTGTTCATGCCTTCCGCGTGCAAATCGATTATGCCAAATCATGGGCCTGGGGGGCGACAGCGGAAGCCCGTAAAGATTGGCAAGAGTTTCTACATCAGGAATTTCCTCAAGATAATCAAGTGCACATTCTGAACTCCACAAAAGACTTAGGTTGCATGACTCATTACACCCGGCACATTACACTGGGAAACCTTAAGACAAAAATACAAAATGCCGTCCAACGCTGCAAGCGCATCCGCTGGTTTCAAGCAGATCTTCTGCAGAAGGCTCGTTTCATCCAGACAGCTGTATGGCCACACGCTTTTTTTGGAGCAGAAACCCAAATAGTGGGCGATAAACACTTCCGAACATTGCGTAGAGAAGCCGCCATGGCATTGGTCGGTCCGGAATCTCAAATCTCCAGTTGGTTAGCGGTCCACATTTTTAGTCCACAACTGCAAGACCCGCTACTCTATGTGATATCTACAGCGGTGTCCTTCCTGCGAAGACTCTTTTATACCAACCCACCCTTAGCACAGGAGTTCCTTAGCACCGTTGTTTCGCACCAAGGGTCGGCTGTGGGCCCAGCCGGAGCCCTGGCACGATATCTGGGCCTAGTGGGGTGGTCTCTGTCCATTGACGGGTGTCTTAATTTAGATGGTAGCCTTTCCGTCTCGGTCAAACTCGATTCCTTGCGGCATATTCGATCCCACCTTCGTCGTGCCTGGGCATATCATGTACATCGACAGATTTGCCACCGAAAAGGCGTCCCAGATTTCCTTTTGATTATGATATACTGTCACGAGTACTGCGTACGATGTCAGCCACTACGGTACGCCAAATTGCATACAATTTAACAGGTGGCTATCAAGTAGCAGCCGTTAAAGCTACATGGACTTCCACAGTCAGCGAACGTTGCCCCTTCTGTGATCAGGTGGATACTCACGCACATCAACAGTTAGAATGCCCAGCCTTCCTGACAGTCCGTCAGCGACACCCCAGAGCCATCGCCTACCTCCAGTCCAATCCCCAGAAACTTTGGCTGCCTCTGCCGGTTTCTTTCCCTGAAATTTCTACCCTCCGTCAACTTTTGTCATGTAGGGGTCAGGATACCGACCATACGACCATTCGTCAGGAAGCCAACACTCTGTATTTCTATACAGATGGTTCAGCCGATACTCCACTCCATCCGGAAACAAGACGCGCAGCTTGGTCTGTCATCCAATTTCAACCTCATTCCAACACGGCCCCTTACTTGACGATCAAGATCCAGCATCTCAAGGGGCCGCAATCAATTGCGCGAGCAGAACTAGCAGCTGTCACTTGGATCGTTCGACACGCACCTGAGCAGCGATGGTCACAGCATACGGTTATCACCACCGATTCCCAGTACGTCATCAACCTCATTCAGCAGGTTACCCATACAACCAGCTCTCCTACATGGTATAGGTTAGCTCACGCTGATTTGCTCCAAGAACTGGCAGCCCACTGGCACTCCTCCCGCTTTACCGTCCGTAAGGTACGTTCTCATCAAAATCTTGCTGCCATACCATCTGGATCTGAGCGAGATGATGCTGTAGGTAATTCTTGGGCGGATCATGCTGCCGTTCGGGCTAGACAAATTGATCATCCAGTTCTGGATACATTTTTCCATAAGGCCCATACATGGCATGGTGACCAATATCGTCAGTCACATAGCATTTTAATCTATTTGGCGGATCTTAATCTACATCATGTCTATCTCAAGCAAAAATCGCATAGGCAGAATGCCGAGGATTTATCCCAGGAGGCAGCTCTTGATTGGGGGGCGTTGTATCGCCAACGTGAGACTTACCGCATCACCTCCCTCAGCCAACAGCTACAGCCATCTATCCATCCAGGCTTTCTTACCGCTTGCGTATGGGGAAATCAATATGCCGATCTAGTCCTCCAATTTTGTGCCGCTTTGCAATGGCCCGATCCCACCATCCCTTTGACAGATCCGATCGCCAAGCAAGGCATCACCTGGCATGAGCTCACCATTGCCTTCGTAGTTAATACGGGAATTCAATTCCCTACTTGGATCCGACTGGAAACAGCCAAACGCGCTCAGCCATTCCCATGGCAAGACCCTAGGGTCCTAGCACTCCCCATATCTCGCAGATCTTTACGTGAACAGGCTGAAGCCTTCCGTACGATAGTTCTGTACCTTCAAAAATATACCAGTTCACCACTGCTCCCGGCCCATTCGAAAACTGGCTCTATTAGTCTGACCCAAATCGGATGGGGACGCTCTTATACTGGAGGTTTCGTGTCTCGGCCAGAGGTCCCCAATGCAGGTGCCGTTCAACGTACCCTAGTCAAATACACTGAAGACCTCCACTGCAAACCTCCTTTTCATCCGGATGGATTGATTCCCATGAAATTTGTCACCCCATCCTTCCATGCTGTCGAACCGGTTACATTGACGTTTGAGCAAAGATTCCTGTATCGCAGACGATTACGCCAGGCTTGGCATCACCAATTCGACCTTGACACCATCACCAATTCGACCTTGACACCATTGCTATCCCGCCCGCACCTAATTAGTAATTTACCGCTAGTGTAACTGATGCTCGCTCCCGACACACGCCTGGCGCGGACATTCGGTTTCACGTCGGTTTATCGACCATTTTTGGTTCACTTTGTACAGTCTTCATTATGCCTTACAAGAAGATATCGACCAAACTCCCAGATACCCGTCAACACGACGAAGGGTCTTGGGAAGCGGCATGACGCGACCGCAAGTGGTGTGAGTAGTACGGCCAGGAGCCCCTAGTAGCGTCCTTGCTCCTAGTAGCGATTGTTCCTCTTGCGAGGTTCAGTAGCTTTGCTTTCACATATCCTGTGAAGATCTCGGGGCAGGGAGATCTGTCGACACAAAAGGCTGGGAGCGTTCTCGCACGACTTCTGGAGATGTTGGATTCGTTTCTCAGCGTCCCAAGAAATCCCCATCTCCGCCTCTTTCACTGAGCTCGCCAGGGTGACCTAGGCCTGGGTGAGGGCCAGGGTGATGTAGACCTGGCAGGTTGGTGATCCTAGTAGTCAAACAAGAAAATTGTTTCTTCCGCTACGTCGGTTTAGTGGTTGAGTTTCAATTTGTTTAGGGGAAACACGGGGCAACAACTAGACTGTCAGTGGTGTCACTTCCAGGACAACATCTCCGTCGAATTTGATGTCAGTGTGGGGAATAAAAGAGGAAGCCCTCTGCAGCCTACCGGCAGTCAACAAGCAGGCCGTGCTGCAAGCTTGTGCAATTCCCCTATGATTGCAATTGGTCAAAATATTTCGCGTCCACCTTTCTGAATTCGCACCGAAGTGTCAGAGCTGAACCAATAATGGCGACATTCAGAAACACTGATCCTGCCACAAGATTGTCTGCCCAATTAACTTGGCCAAATCATCCACGAGTACATTTGTCATCCAAAAGTGGACGTGTTGATCTCAACCGTTCCTCTATTCTCACATATTCTCCCCATGACGGTCATCCAGGGTCATCTCCTTTTGGTCCAACCTGGGCTGCACATGTCGCTCCAACAAGACAGAGCACAGGGGAAGCCTTTTCCAATGCCCGATCAAACGCATTTGGTGGACCAAATGCGGACCATGCTGCGGACCGTGCGATAGGCAACACCCTCTAACTACCTGCTTAAACAAGGAACACATGCAAAAGAACATGCCATCTACAAGGAACTATTGCTCAGCCTTTGATTGGTCATGGTATCTAGCAGTCACAACAAAGATAAGAAAGTGAGTCTAGAGTCTAGATGTGAGCAAGGACGCTACTAGGGGCTCCTGGCATCGCTACTAGGAGCAACAAAGCTACTAGGGGCTCCTGGCCTTACTACAAGGACCTGGAGGCCATCGCTTCTAATGCTCATTTTTCATCATTCGTGTAGGGTTCCCTCTTCAGCTGTGTCACTCTGTCGTTTTGCCATGTTTTGCCAGCCTTGATCTGTTCGACCCGTCCCGCTTTTGGATGGAGTGCCCATCGGTCTCGTCACAATTCCTGCAGCTTACACGGCGGTTGAAATGATTCAGCGATGGTATCAAGTTCTTCTTTCTCTCCGAGCGGCCGAAGAATCCTCCTTCCATCTTGGACATCTGCCCAGGTAAAAATGCGTACTCGAACAGGAACAGGCTTGTTGCCTTGAAACGAACAGGTGCTCTTGCACAATAGTGAGCTGCTTCACTGCGTTTCGCAAGACATTGTCAAACAAGTTCGAATTTCAAAGGGAACCAAATGATGCACACTGAAAGCAACATGATATTGAGCGTGGAACCAATTTCCCTCTGGTACTCCTTCAAGCAATAAAGTCGGCGATTGTCCTGGCGGCTTCCAGAGCTTTGCCAGTTCACATGTGCAAGGCAAACACATTCAGTCCGTGGAGAACAAGGCCTTTTGGCCCTGTGAGTCCATCTTCAGCACAACCGTCAACTTCAAAAAGTCTGCTTGCATTGGATTTATCGACCCGGCTTTCAGTGCGTCGATCAGCTCCTGCACTGTGACAGGAGAGCTAATCAGGCTCAAACTGGAACAACTCTTCAGGTTCCACAGTGCTCGGCACTGGAAACTCACCAGTCTCCGATTCGAGACAAGCATTTGAACAAGGTGAGTGTTGGTGTCACGGTGTCACTTACATCATACATATTCAATATTCATATACATGAAACCCAGCTAGAGAGAAAGACATTCCTAAGGGTCTCATCACCATTTCACTGTGTTGCAATTGGATAGTGAAACAATATTTGAAGAAGGTCAAGGAAATCTCATCCTCGAGTGATCGGCGAGGCTGGCCGTCTTCTTCCTGGGCAAGGCAGCGCGAACAGCTCCCACCTATAGCTACTAGTAGCTTCTTGTTACTAGTAACTAGTAGTAATGGCCTCCAACCTAATAGCTTCTAGCTACATTTCAAGAAAAAGGTCAAAAGGTGGAAAGAAAAAAACATTGGAGACGCTCCCCGTCCTTGAACCATCTGCCCTGAATTGTCAACTGGCTGTAGCGCAGCTCCCTTACATCAACAATCATCTCCGCAGCCTAGGAATATTGGCCAGCAAAGCAATCGCAAGGCACACAACGAGCGCAGAGATGCAAATGTCCCATGAAAATAATTCGAAGGGGCATGGTCAGAAGGTATGAACAGCCAACAAAATTGTCTTCTCAAGTCACCCTCGTGCTTCAAACGCCTTCAGTCCTGACCTAGACCTAGCCTGCTCGCATCGTGGCCGTGCTTGTGCAACTAGGATCCCTGCCAGTGTGGGTGGCAAGTCTTGCCAGGTCACCCACTTGCGGCGCACTTCCTCGAGCTCCGTCTCAAGTCTTTCAGCGTCCTGAGCATCCAATCACGCCATGGTCTCCAACCTGCTAGCGATGGCCTCCAAAGTGCTGCTAGCGATGTTTTTACACTAATAGCGATGGCCTCCAACCTAAAAGCGATGGGCTCCAACCTAATAGCATTGGATTCAAGAGCTGAATTTCCATTCCACATTGTTTCTCTTCTGTTACTTCTCAAGTACCTCCGCAATGTGCTTTCCCATGCCTTCTTGAGTTCCGAATTCTCCAACTTGAGACGCTTCACCTCCTCTTGAAGCTCCAGGTTCGATGGGTGGGCCTGTCCAAAAATACATCTCTAAAAGGTCTTGGGAATTGGGATAGGCTCCAAGGGGTGGCTGACTGTGAAAAAAGGAACACATGATAAACAGCGAATGCGTGGCTTTGTATTGCGACTGGAGCAATCGTGGTTCAAACTGGGTATTCTGTTCTAAATTGATCTAAGTTGGTCGTCTTCTGGGACTGGCATGGATGGCAAACCATTTGCAGAGCCAAGGACTGCAAAACAAAAAGATCGTCTGGTAGTTGCATGTGCCTGCTCACTCAACCATTGCAAGCCAGACTGCCGGCATGGCGATGGTGGTGGTGGCATTGGCTTGGGCAAATGCGCCTGGAGTGACTTCAACTAGTAGCTTCCAGTTACTAGTAGCTTCTTGTTTCTACTAGCGATGGCCTCCAACCCAATAGCGATGGCCTCCACCTAGTAGCTTCTTGTTGCTAGGTGACTTCAAATCAGAATCATGCAAAAGCCACTGGAGTCAGGACCAATACGGACATATAACAATGAACCACTCTCTATGGACGAGCGCCCCAGCGGGCTGTAGATGAGTGCCAATTCCGTGTAAAAAATAGAAACCACACAATGAAATCCATTGAAGAACACCAGCTCGGCTATGAATGTCACACGGACACAACTCAGACCGAATGGATTGCATTCTGGTCGCGGCAACTGCAAGTAAACGCTCCTGTGCACCCATCGTTGGTGGTG